ATTATATGCACTCCTAAGGTGCGCTACATATTGTTGCTTACAGAAACCGCAAGCTTTCGCGCAGAGTATGCGAGCGACCCGATCATCTGATTTACATTCACCTTGGTCCTGAGATAACAGACATGTCTTCATACCGGCGTGATCTTCGCAAACCTGGAGCTGGTGTTCAGTGCTTATCTAGGTGGGTAGCTGATCTTGGGAAACATAGTGGATGCTCTGCTAGGCGCATAGACCTCTGACTAACTAGGGAAATTGACAAAAAGACACTTGGTGCTCTGACCACTTTTTTTACATGCCGAGCTACACAAGCCCTCAGAATATTGTTAACAACAGAAATGAGCTTTGCGTTTTTGAGTACTGTTCGGCTTGGTAAGGGCATTTTGCCCTTTCACTAGTTCCGCTTTAATCACACCTTCCACCTTTGGGGGACTTGTAGAGTCTTGTCAGTTGCAAACGCAATCCATCTTATTACATAGTTTGACAGGATCTCAAAGGTCCGCAGGAGGCATTAAGTGATCGATGGAAACCAGCAAAATGCTCCCACCAAGCAAAACAACGCCCGCTTTCGCTATGTTGCCTACCTTTGGCGGACATCAGTGGTATCAGCTTCATGATCACTTCAAAACTTAAAGACTACCTCCGCCTGCGCCCGCCTACACTGATGACTGTATTGAGAAGCAGCAACCACGTGCAGGATACATGGCAGTTTCCAAATAGCTTTACAAGAGCGTGATACGAAGAGTGACTTGCACACCGAGGGAAAATCATTGAGCGTCGTCAGTTCAAAACGGTGATTTACGTAATGCTTAGTTGAGAAAGCGAAGCGATACTAGTCGTGTATTTCCTCCGAAATTTGAGTGCAATCGGGAGACTTTCGCCGATGATATTTCTGTTCCTGTTTTCTATGAAATATTTGCTTTTTAGGATTGCGCACAAGCTCGTCAACCCACACTCGGTCTCCGGCGTCATCATCGTTGCTTTTCAAAGCAAGTGGGTGCGGTGTTTGGGGCGGGCGGTTGCTGCCACGTCGTTGGTGGAAGGACCATTTGGGGTGTGTCCAAGCCCACTTACTCAGCCCTTCCACCAGTGACGTTGGTAGTAACCACCCCTCCCCCCTCCAGCCACCGTGTCCACAGCCTAAACCTTATAAAAAGGAATGACAGACAAAAATGGCAACGGTGAATGAAAGCTGGATCCTATACCACAGGAATCACGCTACTATCAGTGATTGCTTCAAGTGAATTGGCATCAAAGAAACCTACAAACAGTTTGCGGTAAAGGAGGGTCTTCAGTGTTTAGCGACCGTTCTTCTCAGAAAATTTGCTCCCCCGAGTCGTTTATTGTGTGATTGATGGAAACTAACCTCCACTGTGAAGCTCGGCTCAAGTGGACTCCTCTAGTGCTTAATTGGCCGTGCCTAATGGCATTTTTGTGGCATGGAACTGATAGAACCTCACCCTCATTCATTCACTGAGGAGCCCTAAACGGTCAAGTGAGCGTGCAGATGTCTTGACAAAGATGATTCACACTAGCGGTAGTAGGGTGAAGGCTGAAGGTGAGTGAGGGTTGACCATACTGATTGCTGGTCAAGTATATACTAACTATTAATGTTACAAGTTTCCTCAATGGCTGTGAAAAAAGAAGGGTGCCTTTTATTTGGTTCGACTTTACACAGGAGGAAAACTGGATGGAAAACGTTGCTGCATCGAGTCTATCCGTGGCCGTCAAGGCTTCAATGTTTCTTTGAACCTGTAAGAGTGACTCTGAGGTGAGGTTTGAACGTATTTCAGAAGAGACCTCCATGCAAAAGTAGAAAGTTCTTTGAGCGAATCGAACAAAAAGCCGTCTCGCTACCCTCGTACACATTGCGTCACGCGCCCCATCGTTTGATCAGCACTGTACTCTGCCCGTGCTATCCTCGGCACTTGCGGTGCAGCGCTTGTTACTAAGGTCCCGTAGCTAAACACGCACTCAGCGGTTAGATGTGGAGGGCCAAGAAAAGCGTTTTGTTCATGACTGGGCGCTTGTTGGCCGTGCGGGAGCACGAGGAGTATGTATTCGGCACGGAGGTATGAGTACCCGTTGGCCCCAATACCATTCACTTCTGGAGGAAGGAAGTAATACGCTCCCAAAGACCCTGTTCTCTTCTCAGGTAAGGGCCAGGATCCGCTGAGTGAGTGAACAGTTTGCTTTTAAACTCATACATAAGCGGTGAGTGTCAAGCTAACATCGCAAGCTCTAACGGTAACTACTAAAACTGGAATGAACTATTTTACAGCGAGCAGTCAGTTCGGCGACGAGGGGGGCATGGGAGCATTTTGCACTTTTGCTACATCCCAACGACGTTTCAACCCTTCTGGAGCGCCATTTCGTAAGCTTAGAAGAGCTGACAGGTTCTAGCGTGGGAGGCTCGACGAGTTTGCTCCAGCTTCACAGAAATTCACATCTTTCATCTGAGTGAGACTTGCACACCAGAGCTAATAAAGCAGGAAAGTGCGAGATGCCCCGGTCGCCGATCTGCGCTATTTTTGGGTGAAATCTAGCTTCTACCTTAACTCTGACCGATATAATCCTTCAAAATCTTCCTACCGTTCGCCTTGGTCTTTCCATTGCGAGCAGCCAGGGCCCGCTTACGAAGTTTGAGATGTCTGTATGGCTTGTAATAATATTTAGATCGAGTGTGCGGCCAATCATTAAAATTGTACAGAGCGTCCAGCAACACGTGGAACACCTGCAAGTGAATACGATTGTCAGAACTACATTCTAGTTGTGAAAGTTGTAACAAATTGGATGTCTTAGAGCAAGGAAAGTGCGAGTTTTCCCACCTTTTTATTCTTGCTGTTCAGGTTTTTCACTTCTTGCTTTATCTCCGCCATGGTTTTGTCTGCACTTTTCAGAATTTTCAAGTACTCCTGGAAGGTGGCTGGTAAAGCTGCAAGCACATTGGCGATCCGCTGCTCAAGCTGCTTGAAGCTTGCATCCTTTTCGGCTCTGAATTTCTTCACCTGCTCCTGAAAAACAGAAAGTCTCCTGAAAGCTGCGTTGTCACGGTAAACAGGAGGAGCTGAACGTACTGTGCGATTATACTTTTTTGCCCAAGCAGCGATTTTCTCCTGTTCCTGAGCGAGTGTGAGATTTCTGCCAAAATGATGTCATCGTACTCAACTCGGCCTTTGAGGGTAATACCCTTCATGAATGGCAAACGATAGTTTCTCTGATAAAAAGTGTATCTGGAGCTTTTGCTTTCGCTAGCAGCGACGGAAGCTGCGACGGCTGCGAGCAAGATGAAGAGCGGTTTTCATTCTGCAAAAATCAAATTTGATAAGATACAAGTTTTCTTCATTGAGAAAACTTTCATAACAATGAAGCGTAGTTGGGAGTAGGGTGCGTTGCCTTGGAAGAGGTACTGGAGAGAAAAGTGACGTTGCATACCTAGCACGATTGACTTTTATAGAGCACTGCTAGTGTTCAAGGTAGAATATTCATTTGTGTTATGCACATGTTAATCGTCTTTGCAACAATCAAACAGCCCATTGAAAAAAAAAAAAAAGCAGTACTAGAATTAAAGTTGCGGAATATTGATGAGTTTCTTCACGCATTGAAAGACTTCCAAATAGGTTTTCTCTGTAGCCTTTGAAATTGCTTCTTTTGGTTTATCGCAAAGCCCTGCAAGTCAAGAGCTGGCAAAAATACGCGCTTCATTGAGAACGCCTACATTTCAGTTTCTTCAAAGAAAATTATTTTTCATAAAGAGTTATGACCAAGAAATTTCACGAAACTAGAGAATTTTCGAGAGATTAGTGTCATTTAGTTTTGATACACCTCGACCCGTTCCTTCATGTAGTCAGATAGTGCGAACGGGGTACATAGCCATGTCCGGAAACCAGTATTTTCAAAATTTGTCTATTTTATGAAATCATCTGAAATTTGACGTTTGACTCCTTAGTCGCTGCTTCGTAACTCCCTATACATGCAAGCCGAAAGAGTTCAGTGTCGGACAATATTGCGGGGTTCGAATCCCGTCCGCTGTCCGACTTTTGCCCACAATTCGGCACTCTTGTGATCACATGTAAAGCTTCGATGCATACGTGCTCATGCCAAAATATCTAATTCGTAACAAGCTTAGTCTGAATTTATCTACTAACACGATTGTGATTCAAGCTATAGGGTCGAAACACGGATCTACTTCTTCTTGACCAGAGCCGGTTCCTTTTTGACCGAAGAATTTCAAGCAGCCCGGAACTAAATTCTCTTCCCCCTACCCTCACCCTATGGTTTTGGCTTTTGTCTTCTGCCCACAACTGGGCACTCTTGTGTAATTTTTGGCTTGCACACTGCGGCGTTAAAGGCAGTTGGCACGATAAATCCCCCAAGACGACTAGGATCAATACTCCTGGCAGGATAGAATTCCGCGACCCTGGGCAGGCGCTGCATAGCGGTTTCCCGAGGAAGGTGCCCTTATAAGGGCCCTATCAAGCCACAACTTTACGTCCCAAACGCCCGCCCGCCCACAAATGGACGACCGTTCCTGACGCTCGTATTCATTCATTTGCTAAGCAAATTATGAAGCGAAGGGATTGGTATGAAGATGCTGCATGCATACATGGGTACAC